ATATTTCAAATTTCAGTGTTTTTGGTTTGATTATATTATTGAATTAAAATTATTATTATTATATTATTTTTTTATGATTATTTATTATAATTTATGATTTCGTGTTTCAAATTTTATCATACCCGGGATGTTTACTAGACTCTTGTTCGGACAGATTTCAGTGAGTTATTCCTAAGAATTACAGGCCTACAATAAAAAAACAACATATTTCCATGCAAAAACAGTGGGGAAAAATATTGTTTGATCCCCTGCAGATTTTGTAAGTTTGCCCACTTCATTTACAAATAATACTTATTTTACTCACAAAACTGCAACTCAATTTATAACATTTGTTATAAATTGAGTTGCCTGAACCTCTACATCAAGGAGCTGCCTGGACTGGGATCTGCCTTTCATCCCCCACACCATAGAAGATCTCATCTTAGCAGAAGAAGATTCCAATCGCCTCTGACAACAGATTTCCTGTCATCAGCAGTGTGACTACAGTTGTCGGAGCGCTAAAAGGTGATGCTGGATGTTGGCTCCTCCCACGTGCAATGATGGCGGCAGAGTGCTGCGTCTAGAGGTCCATCTTCGGTGATGGCGGTGAATCCGTGTGACCGGGCATATACTTATGTGAATGGTTCCCCCTGCTGGCTGATGATTGCATCTCTGGAGCCTGGATATCTTCCTATGGTGTGTTACCTGCCTTGTTGATGCTGGCCAGATGACCCCCTGTGTGACATGCAGGGGCCGACTGACCATTTGGAAACTCGGGCATTGCCCGAGGGCCCGGGGTCAGTAGAGGGCCCCATGAGATGCCCCTAGTACCTTTTTCATAGGCTTTTTTGAGTTTGGGCAAGGACACAGAGGCCCCATGATCCCCTATTGCCCAGGGGCCCCATGAGTTGTCATTCCGAGGGCCCAGGGTCAGTAGGGGGCCCCATGAGATGCCCCTGGTACCTTTTTCATAGGCTTTTTTGAGTTTGGGCAAGGACACAGGGGCCCCATGATCCCCTATTGCCCGGGGGCCCCATGAGTTGTCAGTCCACCCCTGGTGACATGTTTCCAGATCCAGATGACTAGGAGTTGGTCCTAATTTACTCCAATGCGCAATAGATTGCGCTTTCTGGTTAGTGCAATCTACATCCCTTCTCACAGCCACAGTAATCACGGATTTTCACCCTTATATTGTCATTCATATTTCCATTAGACTTTGGAAAATATTGACTTTTTATTATTTATGTCACTATATGCACTCTTAAGTCAAGTTGTGACGTTGTTCCACATCACTGTCCATAGCACCCTCGAGCGCAGTTTTATACTTGTTATATTTCTTGATATGCGTATATGATATTACTCATCAGTTTTTTTATTAATATTTATAGATCCATATTGGTTTTATGATATTATTTATTAGTTCATTTATTGATATTTATTGATCCTTACTAGTTTTAGCGCTGCATATATACATATTTACATTTTACGAGCAGGTTCCAGAGGTTTACCTTTTATGCAAGCAGCTTTTTCCTCTTTACTTTTGTCCATTTTACTCAGCGCTCGTTTACCAATTTTATTGCCATAATAAAACATTGTTAACATTTTTATACTTATACAGATACAGCTAAAAGTCCCATTGTGTTTTATATATTTTTTTTTAGTTTGACTATGTTCGAATAGTGCCTTCCTGTAGTACATATTCATCATTTTTAATGCCCCACCCCAAATATTATTTAATCTGTAATTCAACATTCATCATTCCTTTCCATAGGATGAATATTACAGTAAAGATAACGTTTCCTAGGAATGTTGCAGAATGTCAGGGAATGTAATTTAAACTGAAGTGCCACACAACTGCTTAGAGGTCCAGATACAACTTTATTCTGATAACGGTCAGGGGGACAATCCAAAAAAGTATCCAATTCATTTTGGGGTTCCAAGAGTGCCCCATACATCAGGGCATGATTCACAACAATTTAAACAAACACGTAGTGAACTAGATCTTCAATGTTATTTTTGTCTGGTGTGATTACAAGCACAGTAGCTGGTATTTTTGTACTCAATGCATTAAATTAAAAAACACTGAGGGTTTAATACTTCTTTGGTTCTCTTTTAAGGACAGTGACTGAGTACTCTGTAAAGTGTTGTATAACATTTCAGCACTATAATTCCAGCACATTAAATAAATATAATGTTTTTCTTTTGTCATTCAAAAACATAACAATTAATTATTGATGCTTCTTCCTTTGTAAACTGTGATGATATGTACAGTGGCAAGGAAAAGTATGTCAACCCCTTGGAATTAACTGGTTTTCTGCGGTAATTTGCCATAAAATGTGATCTGATCCTCATCTAAGTCACAACAATAGACAAACACAATGTGCTTAAGTTGATAACACACAAACAATTTGATTTTATTGTGTATTTATTGAACATTTACAGTGCCGGAGAAAAATGTAAGTGTACTCATAGACTATTTACTTCAACAAAAACTAATTGGAGTCAGTAGTTTGCACACCTAGAGTCCAATTAATGAAATGAGTTGGAAGGTGTGATTTAGAGCTACTTTGATAAAATACACTCAGACATTTAAAGATTACTGCTCATAAGAAGCATCAGCTGATGTTAACCATGCCTCACAAAACGTAGCTCTGAAGACATAAGGCTGGAAAGGCATACAAAGCAATCTCAACATGTTTAGGAATCCATCAGTCAACCAGGGGTGTCAAACTGGTGGTCCTCCAGCTGTTGTGAAACTAAAGTCCCATCATGCCTCTGCCTTTGGGAGTCATGCTTGTAACTGTCAATCTTGCTATGCCTCATGGGACTTGTAGTTTGGCAACAGCTGGAGGGCCGCCAGTTTGACACCCGTTAGACAAATTGTCTATAAGTGGAGATAGTTTGGTATTCTTAGATTATAAGCTATATTGAGCAGGACCCTCTGAATCCTCCTGTATTAATTTGTATTGTAATGGTAATGTCTGCCTTTATGTTGTAAAGTGCTGTGTAAACTGTTGGTGCTAGATAAATCCTGTATTATAATAATAATACTATGGCTACTAGAAGTGGGCACCCAGTCAAAATGACTCCCAAGGCAAAACACAGAATTCTCAGTGAGGTAAAGAAGAACCCATGGGCAACAGCTAAAGGCCTGAAGACATCAATGAAACTGGCAAACATCCCTGATCATGAGACTACCATACATAAGTCTTTGAAAAGGCAAGGTGTCCATGGCAGAACACCACAGAGAAAGCTGCTGCTTTTCATAAAAAAACATTGCTGAATGCCTGAAGTTTGCCAAAGAGCACCTTGGCAAATTGCAATGCTATTGGGAAAATATTTTGTGGACTGAGGAAATGAAAGTTGAATTGTTCGGAATGAATACTCAGCACTGTTTGGCATAACAAGGACACAGCTTACTAATGTCAAAACATCACCACAGCTGTGAAGTATGGGGGAGGGAACATCATGATTTAGGCTTTCTTCACTGCCTTAGGTCTTGGACAACTTGCCATCATCGAGGGAAAAAATAATCTCCCAAGTTTACCAAAATATCCTACAAGATAATATCAGGGTGGCTGTATGCCAACTGAAGTGTAGTAGAAGTTGGGTAATGCAACAGGGCAATTACCCTAAGCATCAAAGTAAACCCACCACAGACTGGCTTCAGAAAAAGAAAATGCACCTTTGGAGTGGTGCAGTCAGAGATCAGACCTTAAACTCATAGAGAAGCCATGGAATGACCTCAAGAGGGCTGTTCACACCAGACATCCTGCAAAATGTGTTTGAGCTAATGCAGTTTTGTAAAGAGGAATGGTCAAAATTTCCACTTTGTGCGGGTCTGATACAGAGCTACAGAAAGCGTTTGCTTGAAGTTGTTGCTGTCAAAGGAGGTTCAACCAGTTATTAACGCCAAGGGTTGACTTACGTTTTCTTCCAGCACTGTGAATGTTTAATGAGTGTGTTCAATAAAGATACAAGAAATTAGAATTGTTTATATCTCATCAGCTTAAGCCCATATTGTTTATCTATTGTTGTGATTTAAATGATGATCAAATCACATTTTATGGCAAATTACAGCAAAGTTCCAATGGGTTCATATACCACAGTATTTCAAATACCATGAAAGACGTTTATAAACGGATTCAGACTCTAAGGGCCCATTCACACCACAATGGTGTGCTGCTGTGCCATTCATTGTGAAGGGCATCCCCCAGCACAATACCTTGTGTCCCATGCAACAGGCCCCATTAACACAAAATGCAGCCAGTCTGTTGCTGTGCATGTCAGCCCATTCAGTTTGAATACTTTTTGTTAGCCGCTTATGCTGTAGGCCTCATGCACACTGTGAAGCTCAAAAACATTTATTCCTGTACAGGAGTTTTCTGAATCAAAATCATGGTAAAAAGCCGTGTAAATGCACATTAATGAGCATTCCCGTGTATGATGTTAAGGCATTCTTTTGGCCAGAATTTTGGTGTTAACACGCCTGACGTTAATGTGTGCTAATGTGCGTTAATGCGAGCTAATGCTTTTTTTGACTTTTGAGTGTTTTTTATGCTCAAAAGCTCCTCTCCTGAATGCACAAGTGATATTTTTTCTGCCTCTAAGGCACTTTTTAAAGGCTGGACTCCGCCAGCGGATCTGCCTGCTCAGCAGAGTCCGATCCATTATGCTCAATCCGCACATCTGATCCATTCTGCGGGGATCGTCAGAGGGGGTGTCACCAAGTGTTACTGCACCAGGTGACACCAACCCTAGGGACGCTCCTCCTATAGTGTGCATGGTGACATAGGCTAACATGGAGGGGAGTTAACAGGTAGAGAAAAAAAAAAGCCAAAAACTGCTCAAACTCCTGTAGGAGCAGCTTCTTTGAGCTGCAGTGTGCAGGAAGCCTTAATAAGATTTGTTAATTCCAATTTCTAATTTTACAAAATATTACAACTTACTTAATGCCGAGTTCCAGCTGAAAAAAAAAAAAGAAGTCACCAGCTACAAAAACTGTAGCTGCTGACTTTTAAAATACAGACACTTACCTGTCCCTCAATCCAGTGGTGTCCTCACCATGGCTGGTTTCACTGGCCGTCTTCTCTCCTTGGCGCCGGCATCTTTAGTGTGGGCATCCGGCTGTGACAGCTTGCGGCTTCACAGCCGGGTGCCCACTGTGCATGCGCGAGAAGCTCTGCGCTTTGTGAATGGCCCCGTAGTGTTCTTGGACCTGTCATGTGTCCCCGCAGACTACGGGGAGAGAGGGGGGAGGACAAGTTTCACTTCCAAAATGCCTAGGCGATTCCAGCGGAAGTGGGAGTGGGTACCTGTCAAATTTAGGTAACCGCTCCCCAAAGGTGCCAATCCTTAATGGGGAGCGGGGGATTAAAGGCTTAAAGCGGAACTTCCCCTTTTGGGTGAAGCTCCACTTTGATGTTTCAAAATACTGAAGCTCTGGAATGTATCACTAAAGTCATGCAGCATATGCATTTCTTGTACCAAATATTGAGGCTATGCTGACAGCTAGTGTTAGTTTTTGGTATTGCACTTTTCTTCTTGTACAGCATTGTTACATAGCAATTATACTTCTGTAACAAGATAAAGTTTGCAATTTGTTGCTAAGAAATATTCACAAATCCCCCCTCTAGGATAGTAAAGCAGTTGTTCAGTATGCAGAAAAATAGTTGTACACGCGCAAGCACACCCAAGAAGGTTTTCACTCACTCATTGATCTTTTGGAATGTGCACAGCTCTAGCCATATTTTAACAGAGCAAGGATGGATTAGAATCCTGCAGTGTTTTCTCTCTGTCTGTGTCCTGATGAAAAGGTTTCCTAATACATTCTGTTTGGTTTAGTACACAGCAGATGAATGGAAGTCTTCCAATCTGTCATACACAAAGAGAGTCATAAACATGAGGGAGGTTTTTACTTCTGTAGCACTACCCCCTTAGGAGTCCCTGAGTTATTTTCGGGCCCCTTGTCATTCTAGACCCCACTCTGAAAGCCCAACCCCTGCTGACATCTCAAGGTTCCTTTGACCAGATTAAGTTAACACCAGAAAGTAAACTCACACATAGATTAGAGAAAAATGATATGAGATTTATATTAAACTTCAATGTAAACTTGGTTGACCAGTACAAACTGGTATTGATGCTTGGAATAACAATAATTACTCTTAGCAACTCTAAGTAAAGAAGTAACACATATAGCAGAAGTTCTATCAATGTTAGCAGGCATGCAATTAGAAATGAACCCAATGCCTCCGACCTGAGGTGGTAGCAAGCCCAGTGAGCAATAAGAACTAGCAACAATGAGACTAGCTCACTTTGGGTCCTCAGAGTCTGACGTCACGCTTTAAATCTGAGGTAAAGGAACTCTTTGACCAGGGTAGTCAATGTCCTTTTAAGTGCAGTGAGGACTCTTTTGCATACTCACTGGGGCCCAGTTGGTGCACAAATAAGCAGGACTTTAGGTGATGTAGGTGATTGTTCCTGACAGGATTGATGCAAAGGGGAGGTAGAAGAAAGGACATGTACTTTCCCTTTAAATGACACTTTTGCGTGTTGTCTCCATTAACGCGCTGGGAAAAGAGCAGCTTTTAGTCAAATACAGTGTTAAACTGGCAAATGGGCTTTTTAGCAAAAAGGCAACTCCACTCTGGGATGTGGTGACCAATGGCAATCATGGTAGATGTTCCTTTAGGAGGAAAGGCCAATGTACAGGGAGCACTGATGTGGTCTCGCCTGCAGGAGGCATGCACTGTGGTCAGCTCTGATGATTTAACTGTACTGTAAATGTGTTCAACAGTAGCGACTATGGAAACTAGGCCTCAACATGTGTTAACTGAATATAATATCCAAAAGCACGTGCAGGTAAAGTAGCAGGTATTAAGAGAAGATCAGTATTCTCTTGCTTAACTGTTTTCTCACCCGATCAGTGGCTTCCAGCAGGTCCTGGCTGTCTCTCTCTCACCAGGGGCCCCTACAGGTTCTCCGGCCTCATGTGCAGAGTCCCCCTCCAGTCACTGCACTCTGGGTCACCTGCTGCCAGACTGTCTTGCTAAATAAGGTGGCAAGGTTAGTGGACATCGGCTCCTCCTTGCTTCTCCTCTCTCTGACTCTGCGGCCTCGTCTGGTTCTCCAGCAGTCAGTACCATGCTCTGCTTCCTCTCTACAGCTCTCTCCCCTCACTTCCTGACCAGTCTCCCTGGCTTCAGTATATATCTGCCGCCTCCTACACACCAGCACTTCTGGGAAAAGTAGTCCTCTCATACACTACTCCCCAGCAAAGTCCTCCGATTCAGCATACAAGGTCCATGGGGCTGCTCTGCAGAATGTGAGTACCTCTGAATTTGCAGAACACTGCCATCTTGTGTTGGTTTTAACGCCTTGTAGCTGACCTTACAGCAAGGGTGTTATACCTCTATATTCAAAACTACCTTCAGCAGTCTTTAGGTGAGCTTAGGAACCTGAATCCCAGTCCTCACTGACAAAAAGAAGTTTAGAAGGTGTGAGGGAAAAGCAAATCTCCAGATCCATTAAAAATATTCAAATTTTCAAGCTCAAACACATTTGAATAACATGCAATTATCTTCTGTTTCCAGGATACCAGCATTTTGTTATTGCGATGCAGTCCAGTGATATTTTGGTGTAGTCTTCACACTGTCTGTGTCAGCATGAATTCAGATTATAGAATATTCCTCTACACTCTCTGTGTAGATATCTATATCGTGACCCTGGCACTGGAAAATTATATACCACCTTGAAGAATGCTAATGTAATGGCAACTTTGGGAATTCCAGGAAAACTCAGGACATGAACTTGAGGAAAAGAAGCTTTTTGTTTTCCAGCTGGTTGACCTAGCCAGTTACATCACAATGCATATATTTCCTCTTTACTTTTTGTACCTTTAAAATACATTCTGAGTAGTTCAGGATATAGCCTTTGCGGTTTCACATTTAGATAAAATATCACCAACTGAAAGTTAGGGTGTCAGCTGCTAGACTGGAACACATTGTTCCACAGGAAATGAGGGGAGGAAGTGAGCTGATGACCTGGTTCTGCAAACAGATGCTTTTAGAAATGTTAAAGCTTAATGGGGAACTCTGCAATATTTGGGTGCTGCCACACTAAAGAACAGCAGTTTATATATGTTGTCAGTTTATCACTCTTCCTGACGGAAGTGCTTTAATGACTTTATTTTTCAGTATTCATACATAAACACTGCTAGAGTGGCAGATAAAAAGTATAGGGAGATCATAAGGATCATCATTGTAGGTGGACATAGAAAAAGAAATCAGAAGACATGTAACAGCAAGGTGAAAAAGGAGGAGATGGGGAACTGGGTATTGAAGAAGACAGAATTACATTAGAAGCTAAATGGGACAGGGTGTTCAGTTCACCTGACAGATAAAGGTAGTCCAACAGGGGCAGGTTACAGCCACCCTATATAAGTCCTGTTTAGAAGACTATGTATGGAGAAAAGGTGACTACAAACTGCACATTTGTAACAGGGGTACAGACATCAATAGTCAATGTGCATTACATTAGGAAATGTCTTAATCAAAGAAGTCCCAGCGGCAATCATATGAAAGAACCAAACGTGGATTAACCAAAACCAGGATTCAAGTGGCTGGAAAAAATGAATGCTGTCCTTCTGCAATTCTAAGCGCACCAGTAGCCATCAATAGCAAACCCAAAGACTCAACAAATTTGCATCAATCCAAAACAAGTTCTCATGTCTTCTTTTGTTGAGTCACTTATAACCCAATATAGGAGGTGAAAGTCACCGGAGATAATTAATGAATCTATTGCATAGTTTATTAAAACCTTTCTGTGTCTGCTTTTGATTCAAAGAATCTGAAAAGTTTTTTTGACAACGCACACTTCGAGCCACTGGTGGAAAAAACGATCATTGAAGGCTTTGCAGCAGGTTCTCATGCACCAGGAACTATCCTAGAAAGAGTAAAACATCTTCTTACTGTAGGAAAGACTACAAGACTGGTGAAAAATCAGAACTGTGAGTTACCGTTTGTATTGTCATGTCTGTGAATGTGATACAAAATCATTCCATCATTCCAGCAATAAAATGATCACTAACTGATGTGGTCAAGGCAACAGCAGCAGCCCAATTTAGGAAGAGTAAGTCATGTAGATAAATCGAAAAATTCGGCCATACTAAGAAGTACTAATCAATGGAGATGACAGACCACTGGGTAGTAAGCAATGCATATGATAGCAGTGCTTGCTTTTCTGAGAAAATGTAGAGAGCTTTGCACACAAATGTAAGTGATAAGGTCTGGGTAGCAAGAGAGCCTAAAGAAGTATCATTTTTTCACAGTATTCAGTTTCCGATGGGACAAACCACAGTACATGTCCCATCTTCATAAGTGTCCTGCAATGCTAGCTGTGCTGTCAGACAGGCCACCCCACTAATCATTCTGGCAGATAAATTGTGTAACTTGTACAGCTGAGATGAAAGGAAAAACCATTAGCGCTCAATGCTTCAAATGAAAGGACTCTACCAATCCTCAGATGAGTATGTAGGCAAGTGCAGTCTCCTTTTCCTACTGCAGGTGGCACTCAACAACAGAGGCATTGTAGGAGGAGAGGTAGTCAGGAGAAGCCTTTTCCTCTATAGATTCCTGGGTCACTTGGGAAATGACTGGATGCTGCTGCCCCATGTGATTCTGGTGGTCATCGTGGGTCAGGCAGTGTCTTTTTAAGACCCTGGCTTCAGGTCTTGGCACACAGTTTGTGAGTGTATAGTGCGGGACAGGTCGCTCATCTGTCAGGGAAAGTGTATAGAGGTAGGGAAAGGTTCCAGATGAGTAGGGACAGGATAGGGACATACTATCATTTCCAGGAATCCTAATTGGCCATAGACTGTCCAGGCCTCATTCCACCAGTTGTGACAGATGCTGTCGGCATAACCTGACTTGCTGTGCCCTGCATTACTGTTCAGAACTCTGAGTGTTCCCAGTCGGGTGTCTTCTTGCTGGACTGTTTGTATCTTTGGGCTGTGACTTTAATACAAGTTCTGCTAATTGCAACTGGAAACTGTGGGCTTTATTTAACTGAAGAGTGCAAAATCTGGTGCAGCTGTGCATTGTAGCAAATCAGCTTCTAACTTTGTCTTGTTCAATTAAGCTTTGCCAAAAAAAAACTGGAAGCTGATTGGCTTCTATGCAGAGCTGCACCAGATTTTGCACTCTCCAGTTTTTAGTAAATCAATTCTTATGTATTTACTGCCTCCGCACCTTGCTGCACCCACCCACAAATACAATATATATATATATGTAAATACCTCGGTTTACAATTTTAATGCATTCTTCAGGACGTTTTGTATTGCCAAAAATTTGTAAACCGAAATCCGGTTTCCCATAGGAATGCATTGAAAACCAATTAATCCATTTCG